ATAAGGTTTAAAATAGGATAGGAAGAGTGGCCAGGGGGTTTTCACACGAGCCCATATTGTGGTATATGTAAAAGCAGCAAATGCTGGAGTTTCCTCATCATGGGAATCTAGCTTGAGTTCCTTCACAGCAAGCCAGAAACAGCTGCTTTTGCCGGGGGGTCTTTCTAGGATGATGCAAAGGGAACCTTAACTGTGGAAGCCCAAACCCCTAAACTGGGTTGCTGTTAAAGGACGGCATTTCAGTTACTATTGGGGAAACCCTACTACGTACTATATATACCCACTATAGTAACTTAAACTAAGTTCCTCAACAGCAACCCAGTAAAATCTTGCATCCCTCCGCAGCTACAAGGCCCGATGACATGATTTCCAAGTATGACGCAGCGCGCAGCTGCATGGGCAAGCAGGTACGGCCAGTTCTTAACCCCAAACCCGAGAATCCTAAACCTTAACCTGAGCAGATTTGAGTTTATTCCCTAAATCCTATCTCCCCCCTAAACCCTAAACCCTAAACTAAAGAGATTCGAGTTTATGAAGGGCTTTGCGGGTGTTTTGCCAGATTTGGGGCTCATATGGGAGAGAGGGGGATTTCTTATTTACACGATTTGGGGGTTGATGGGTCTTAGAAGTCTTGTGGCGTAAGACAGATCATGATGGATCATGGAGGTGAATAGGAAAGAATACCGTAGGATCCATGATCTACAGGGTTGCTGTAGGGATTTGCGTTTATGGAGTGGGGGGGTTCGGGTTGGGATTTGACCAGGTGCTCCACAAAAACCGGAGTGCGCCCAGCGTTGGAGCGGGACTTAGTGCAACTGAAGCAGTTCTGATGTGGACTGGAGTCTGCAGAAGAGATCATTGCTGTGACTTCTTGTCCCAAGCTCCATGCCCCACGGGAGAGCCGTACAGCTGAAATCTTAGGGCCTCGGTAAGGTTGCCATGTGCGTGTGTGTGTGCGACATCAGCACAGTTCGCTTCGCCTTGTAGCTTTAGGCAAGATTTCCACAAAGGAAAGACATGAGTAAGCAAAGCACAGAGAACAATAATCATAAAGTAAGCTCATTATCTATCCGTCCGACCCAGGTTTCAATCACGACACGCGCGACATGAGATCCAAAACCAAGCTTTGCATCACGTGCCTTGGTTCTTGAATTGTGATTATGTGGCGACTAAAGCCGCTCATAAGCTCTATAGGGCTTTAGGGTTTTGAGTTCCAGATTGGAAAAATATGTAAGGCAGCTACTGGGTGTTTGAACCCTTGTGCACATGGCCCGGTAAGGAAGCTGGATGAGGGACCCCGCGCAAACTTCACGAAGATGCACTTGCCCATGCCGCGGCTACCAATGGAGAAGACGCTCCTCGTCTGCCACAGCTCTTCACAACATTCCCCCCCCCCCAAAGTGCTTAAATGACATATCATCCCACCAGAATTCCATCAAGAGTTTCTACACACCTCCCTAAATCATTATCTTTCCGGCGTTCCTACAAGCGTTCCTACAAGTAGTAACCCCCTGACAAACTTCCCTATGAATTCCCAAGTTCAGCCATGACAGGGTCCTCGCAAGCGGCTTCGGCTAGGATGCAGCTGCTTTTGCATAGATTGTTTCACCGCGTGCCAAGGGGCATTTCTCAAAAGCACGAGACAGAGATATTTGGGGATAATATAGGGGACATAAGGTTCACTTAGCGGATTGTCGGGACATGTCGGGCTATTACTCCTGATGGAGGATCAATTGGAAAAGATCATGGAACATGCATGAAATGGAAACTGATAGACTGCCCAGTCCCCGTATGCAGAGCGGAGCAACGTAACCTCCATGAGTATACAGGACTAAAGGCTTCAGCTTTTTGAGAAGCCCCATAGAAAGCGAACCCCGCAAGTCCTCGAAGGGACGATGACAGAGCTGTTTGGCGTGGGCGGCAACAGCTGCAAATGCTCATCCACAGTAATTAGTCTCTTTGATCATTGTGATCCGAACAGACAGGTAATGCAACTGCGGCACCTATAGCGCTTACAGATAGGCTCTACGCAATTTAGACTTCGGTTGTCTGGCTCGCCTTTCCTTGCAGCAGAAGTCCGTCTCGGGGTGCTGGGCTGAGAATGGCCTAGCAATGCCTTTGAGACCAAACATTGAATGCCACCCTTGCAGCTTTCCATATGTGTGTTGTTGCCCATGCGGGCGAGCATGCTCTGTTTCACGGACTTGGCAAAAAAGCGTTGAATTGGGTCGATCAGTGCTTCACTCAAGACGAAGGCCACGCAAGCTTCGTGTAGTTGATCCTGATGAAGCTCGTTGGAGAGTACAGCCCCTCCAAAAAGACACACAACCAGACATTTGGGTACCCTGTTGCTGTTGACGTTCTGCATCTCCGCACGGCCTTGCTATTCTGAACTACCATGGCTAGGGTGTCTTAAGGTCTAGACCCCAAGTAGCTCGAGACCCTGAAGCATGTGGGCTTCTGAAACACATGACGCGGGACCTGGGCCGGAGGAACTATCTACAGGCCCTGGAGCAGATCAACAAGCACCTGGAGTGAGCCCACGGGTTTTTTTCAGGGTCTCGGGTTTAGGGTTTAGGGTATGGCTGAGGCTTAGGATCCCTCTTGATAAAAATGTCAGCAGCAGCCTGAGTGACGCTGGAAATCCAGAGCATGATTCTGACGACATTCTGCCTCCATGGCAGCGCAAGTACTAGTTAGCATGACAGGGGCCCAAACAGGACTTGCATGAATGCTAAGTGTAGAAACACTGGCGATGAGAAGATTGCGCTTCCTACCTGGGCTTCTCACCATGGCCGGTCCAAATTGAGGCCGTTTAGTGCATTTAGGGTGTTATAGGGCTCAGGCCGTAGGGTTTAAGTCCACAGCAGGGGTAGGGAGCTACAGTGCCCAGATGAAGCCCATAGGCCTCTTCTAATGAAGTCTTGCACCTGGAGGTACTGGGATGATGCAATGATCAACCGCTGCAAGCAGCGATTGACAAAGATGCGGCAGATGCTGATCCGGTGGCTAGACTTCCTCTGGTATACAGTTTGGGCTAGGTTGTTTGTACCGCAAGTTTGACAGCATGCCATGCGAGGTGCGAAAATGTGTTCTGTGGGTGGATTCATAGCGCTGGCTGAGCTCTAGGCGGTTGTGGTCGGCTAGAACACACACCGCAGCAGGTCAACACCGAGGTTTGTTTTGCTATGATTGCTGAGATGCTGCTGAGGATGCGAAAGCTGGCGCTGAAAGGCGGAAGCAAGTGCGCCCGCCCACTCTTTCCGGCTGATGGTGTCAAGCAGAATGCTTGTTGTTACCGTTGTTGTCACTACCATCGCAGCTTTAGTACTGTAACTTATGATCTGATGGTGCTTGCGTTAAGAAGAGGAATCAGAGTTTAGGACGGCACATATCTTAAAATCGAGACCATACGGTCTTTCTTGGTAGAATTTGCTCGAGCACCCTTGATTCCACGTGCAATGAGATCTGGACGCGGCGCATGTCTTCCTGTGACCCTAGTACGCTCAGAGAATGATATGGAACTTGCATGTTTACGCCAACGGGTCTTCCAAGAAAATATTCCTTGCCGCCTCATGTTGTAATGCCCAGTTTCTCATACCAGGGGCAGTAGACAGGTAGATATTGTTGTGCTCTCTACCCACACTAGCATCCGGAGTTTACGCAGCTGCTCCACTTGCGGTGACAGGTTGGTGCCCATCAAAAAGAAGACCGAAAGAAGAGAAGCGACTCGAGAGCTGAAGGCGGATGGATGCCTGACCCCAAACTCACTGGGGATTAGTAGGGAATAAGGGAATAAGTCATATAGGGATTATGTAGGGATTGTATTCCCTTAACATTTCTAAAGCTAGCTGATGTTTGGAACATATGGACTTACACTTGTTGGACACAGCATTTAAACATGTTTGAAGCGAAAGGGCAAGCTGGCTCAGCACGCTGCAGCTTACCAAGTTCCCCTTGCAAAGCTACCTGCTGCATGCGTGCTCAGCGGTGCTTAGCAGAGTTGGTCTCGTTGCCCTTCAACCCCCCTGCTATGAAGAACTCCAAACTCAAAATCCTGCAAAGCGCACCAAGCACAACCCCTAAACCCGAGATCGAAGACCGGGAGCGTCAAAGCTGATGGCGCAGGCCGAGGCAGCCGCAAAAGTGGACTTGGCCATCGAGAGAGAGCTCTTGGAGCGCCTTAAGCAGGCCTCAGCTCATTTTTGGCAGGGTTTGAGGGTTTCTGGGGTCGAGGGCTCAGGGCGTAAGGTTTGCAAGGTTTAGGGGGTATACACTAACTAAAGCTGCATGTATGTATGCGTAAAGACGTCATAGCACATAAACAATGAAGGGTTTGGGGTGTTTAGAGGAGAGAATTTGGTCTTCAGGGTTTAGTGTTGTGGCCTCTGAGTGTTCTGCGGGTTGGGGAGAGAAAGACAACGACGCGGAAACACGACAGCTCCAGACCAGGTGTGCAGTTCTTTCTCGGATGTACTTGTATAAGAAATCCCGGAAGCAAATGGTTTTATAGAAGCTTTCGGATCCGTACACTGATGGTCGGGAGTTGAAGGATGAGCGTGCAAATATCTTTCATCCTCATATTTGTCCCGAACTCCACTTTTGTTACCCAGCCCTTCCAAGGAATTGCTCGCACCGAAATTGACCTGGAACCCTAAGCATCATAATGACTTCAAGCAAGCCTTCTCCGACCAAAGGGGTCCACATGGGGTCCCATGCTTATTTTGTGTAGGGAAGGCACCCAGACGGGCTTTGATTGCCAGGGCACCTACGGTGACATCTACAACTTCCCCAAGAAGCAGCCGCGGGCCAAATGGCAAGTAGCATCCAAAATTATCACCAACATTTGTATGCAAATTGTGAGGCAGTAGTAGTTGTGATGTGTGAGCCCTAGGGCCACTACGGATAGCTGCCTGCACGGTCATGATGATAAAGATATGCATGAAGAATCTGGCACCAAAGCAAATGTGAGATGTCAAACACTGGCTGACGTATTTGCAGAAGCAAGGTTTGACAGCATCATGGAGAAGGATGGAGAGGTCGAGAAGGACCGGCGTGTCCTTTCCGTTTTGACAGTGACAGGATCTGGCAGTGAAGTGGATTTCAGTTGTGGTCCCGGAAGCCACAAATCCTACACATGAAGCTCTCGGCTGCATAAACCAATAAAACCTGGCAACTTTGGCCCAGGCCATTAGAATCATCACTCCTCGTTTTAACGGCCCTGAGGCCTCGTAAACAGCAGTGCTAGTTCCATTCCATCTCATTGCATCAATTGTCAGCCTGTGATTCTCCGCCTGAGGAGCTGCAGGAAGGAGACGAGAGCGACATGGAGTTTGTGGAGGCGCTGTCAGGGGCTAGCTAGACCGGTGGTTTCCCTAAATGAGCCACAACCTTTGATCTCCACGAAAGGAACTAGTCTTCGGGCGGCCATGGTTTATACTTTCACGCAAACCCTGCTTACCGATAGGGGAAACCCAACACCATTACCCTTAACAAATGCTGTTTACCGATACGGGAAACCCAACTAAGATGCGGCCG